GCATTCAAAAACCAACGTTAGTAAGACAGATAGGTAATGGAATAGACAGTAAAATGACGCGATCATTGTTGCATGAATAGTTTTGTGTCATAGTCATCACATTTTGGACATTGATTCATAACCAAATTGGTTATTTGAATTCGTATTTGAAATTTAAATAACTAAACTGAATGAGGGGAATTTTTGTTTCGTTCTACATGTGTATAGGAGCTGAAATGCAAAATTGATGACATACAAAGAGTTTTAATACAGTGTTAGATTTAGTATAATAGCAATTCTGTATCAATAGCCAGAAAATTTCTGTACATGACCAAAAAAATTTTCTACCGAAATTTAATATTTCAATAATCCACCTCGCAGTCTATGGAAATACCAGCGCCATCATTACATCAATCGAATTTTTGTATAGCAAGCTGGTAATATTCAGCTATGCGAAGCTGAAATATACAATGACTTCGACCTTCTGATACAGTCATAAACACGATCTGGTTTGGTCATTAGCTCGAAATCAGGATATAGGAGTTTTAGTAAACAACTGGAGCGTACGCTGCCTAACTGATATATTTTTCACGAGTAAAATTGTCGTTTTTGGCTACATGTGGAACGCATCGCCACTGTGTATAGATGTAGTGGCACTTAATTGGCATAAATATAATATTAGCATATTTTTCATAGCCGTAAAAAAAGGAAGTCTTCTTGATAGTTCAACCACATGGAAAAAACAATACAATTTTCTTATTATTTCTGTGCAAAGGGTGGCTTTTTCATTGTTTAATAAAACGGTGATCAATTTTCCGAATTAGACATTAATCAGCAGGTTCGAATTTGTTTCATAGTCATTAGCATAAGTACGTAAGCAGGTCTAGCACACTGGTTCTCAACCAGTGGGCCATGGCCCACTGCTGGGCTATAGAAGGATTTTGAGGTGGGCCACAAGACTATTAGAAATGACTAGTTTTATTTATACCACAATAGTTAGTTGATTGTAGCAGCAATCAATGTCAATGCTGTTCTCTGCTGCTGAGTGGCAATTCCCATTCTAATTATAAACGTTAAAGTGTTCATTTTCGCAGAAACATCTTGCTTTTCTTGTAGTTTTCCTCTCGCAACGAAAAGTTAATGGGTCACAAGAATTTATGTGTAACAAAAATGGGCCACGAAGAAAAAAAGGTTGAGAACCAATGGCTAGCAAGTGGCATAGCAAGATCCTCGTCCATGTTCATTATACACGGAACCATAACCGTTTATTTTTCTGTGCCAGTAAGGCATGGTTTAATGACGAACGCGAAACTCATTCTTAGCGCAGTGCACTCACTAACATGTACCACACAGAGCATACCGAAATAACTGTGCTACATAAATTGTATTTCACTGTTATTCATCATAGGTATTCATAAATCATTCATCTAGTTAAAAATTGTAAGTCAACAGTGATAATGATAGCCAACACACATGCATTACATTTTAATCATAACCTCCCCGTTTGTCGATACACGTAAGTAGGAAAATCTGATATACTTTTCGAAGGATTTTTCTAAATGGTTAATGTATAAAAATGTGTCAATTTACAGATATTCTTTGACGTATAGACCTAAATTAATTTCCGATTGAAAAGTCGTTATAACTCAATTGGCATCGACGAGCTTTTTTAGTTGTCATCTTCTTTATGAGAAAGATGATTTGTACCCTAAAGACAGGCGGAGTGTCCTAATTTTCAACAATCTTGACCAAGGGACGAAAACATGTTATGATACCATATTTTTTGTTATTCTACTTTACACAATTATTTAAACTAAAATTGATTTTCTTTTAATTTAGTACCGATTACAGATTACATTTACCAGAAATATCATGTGCTATAATGGGGATGATGTATGTTCTATCCAAACATAACTTTAGTCCCTAAAAGAATAGTGAATAAATCAGGTTGGGATGCGTGTATGGTGCTACTCGCCAGTTGAATGGTTTTTGCTGCATAAAGCTATTACGCTGCAGTCAAATGCAGCGGTATGTAAATGATTGTTAAGTTTTAAGTCAAGTATGAAATTAGTTTAATCAACTAATAAATGTAAAAACAATTGCTACGTGATGACGCGATCGGCTTGCAGAAATGGCGTTCTTTTTGTGTGAAAGTAATGGTTCAAAAGAAATATGCACACTGAATACGATTGATTCAAAATAACGGTTGGTTTTGCACCGCGTTACAACTAACGATTGATTTTACAAACATGTCTTCATGCCTAAGCTTTTCTCAAACAGTTTTTGGCCAATAGTCAAGAATTTTTGCAACGGCGCTAAAGCACCTGTTACTATCATGCTACACTTGCCATGTTTTGAAGAGAATGATGAGAAGAGAATTTGCTCAAAAGAAAACCAACAGAAGTAAAGGAGACTACAAGCAAAGTTGGGGAAGACCACTACAATGCCAAGAAATACCGTATATATAGAATATTTATGGTTCTGTAAATGCTGATTGACGCGAAACTTGAAGCAGTTCGAGTCAGAAACAAAGATATTGCTGTAGAAATATATTTTTGAAGAAATAGAAATAGAAAGATCAATCGAACAATCGAACAATCCGACAATGCTAAATGCAATAAATAAATTATTACCTTAAATGTTCAGAAACGATGCAAGATTAATTCAGTTCAGTGAAATTTAATAAAATGGATTTCGGTATGGCGATATGGATTTACTTTGAAACCCCAAAGTTAGTAGTGATAACTCTTTTTTATTTTTTTTAAAATATAAGAATAGTTCAGGAATAATGCTAGGCGTTGTAGTGGATGATAAATATAACGTTCCATATTCTACATTCTTTGATTTTAGCATACTGTTATAAAGATTGATATTCCAATTTTAAAGTCGTACATGAAACTGACTAAGTTGACACAACAAACATGCGTGCTTGGAACTTTGGACTATTTTTTCTCATTAGTTCCTAGTTTGCCACGATTTTAGTTAGGCTTCGTACATTGGTATATTGCTTTTCTATTCATTTCAATTTAGCGTGGGTTATGTGAAAGGGTTGAATCAATATCTGCCAAGAGGTACTTTAATAGAAAATTTCATTGTGATTTAATTCTCAAAGAAGGAACGGTTGCGCTGATATATACGTGTCATGGCGACGATAAATTCTACTTCTGACGTATCTCGCCTGAAGTGACGCAACAGTACGAAACATACACGTGACTTGATACTCTAATATTACATTGTGTTAAAACAGAAACCGTGATCCAAATTACAAGACGATCAACAAATTTAAAGATAAATACGAAAAGCTATGGCACCTACTTATTTGATCTGTCTGTTACGCGATTATCCAAGGTCCATGGTTGCAAGAAAGTTGTATTAAGGTATCAAACAACGTAGACAAGTCACGAATAATGAACATTCATTCGCTACAAGTAGTTTCCTATCTACTTGAATGTAACTATATTATATATAGTATAAATTTACAGATTGAATATGCGAAGTCATTAAGTCCCACGAGTAAACGATTGAGGTAATAGTTTCACAGCATAAGATAGTACGTTAAAGCTTTGTGTATATCGTTAAAAGTAGTTTTTTTTTTCAAGTAAGTTTTTCGGCGCTTATTGGACAAGCAGAATCAGCGGGACTTCCTTTGATATCAGATTTAGATGATTCATTGGTCAGAGCTACTGGGATTGAAAGACTAGGGCTTACCGTACCGTTTTCACGCAAAGATTAATTAGATATAACCTGACTAAATGAAATTGCCTGTCTATCAAATTTTAAGCAGAAATATATTGATTTTTGAATTAGTGTTGTGGTAACAAGGACTTTTGAAATAGTTAATCGATGTATCATAATAGTTTAATGCCAATGGAATAATGTAAATGTGTTTTACCGTGCCAATGCGACTCATGGACTACTATCACGAGATTATGATAGATCAGAAAGTTATTAACTATTCTATGCAAAGTAGATAAATTGAATCTCGTAAAACGCAAACATGACAAAAACGGCTGTGCGCCATGTTAAAGCAACGTCAGACTCATTTTCATTGTAGTGTAATCCAGTGGTTCCCAACCGCCGGTCCGCGAAGCTTTTTTGCCGGTCCGCGAGAAATTTTGTTGTGATGATGCCGTCTCAATCTCTTTACCGAAGACGAGGTTACGTTTGTTTATTACGCAATTTCTCTTCCGCCGTCATATTGCGACGTCTTTCGCGACATCTTGGCGCCGAGCAATCACACTTTTCGCTCTTCCGGCTCCGATTCATCGCGAATGCGCTCCATCAAATCTCGCAAGATTCAGAAACCTAAAAATCGGCTTTCTGTTCTGCGTGCTTTTCCTGATTAATATGAACATCTATACAGAACGTTATGCACATTTCTTTGTTTAAACCAGAAAACAGTCAAGAACAGTATAATATTCCAGGAAGATATGAACTTGTTGCTACCCCACAGGTGGTCACGAGACGCGCAAAAAAGCATGGGCCGCAGAGATGTTTTCCAGTATTTTAAACAGATACAGTAAGATTTTGAGCCTGGGCCAAGTTATCGACGACTTTGTCATTGTAACGTAATTTCGTTTGAGGCGTCGATTCGTTTAACTGCAGAGGGATTAATATGATGAACCCGATGAAAAAGAAAAAGCTTGATTAAAATTGTAATTCTACTTTACAATCCATAGTACAGTCCATGATAGTTTTTCTCCGCGTGAAATGTTTTTAAGTGTGCCCTTTTTCTCTAGAAGCATATTGTGAATGCCGGACATTGCATTATATTACGAAAATATCTGTTATTCTTTTCTGTTCCGCTCATTTCATTTTTGCCGGTCCGCGAGTACATTTAATTTAATTTTACCGGTCCGCCAGGGTAGAAAGGTTGGGAACCACTGAATCCATATGCTCAATTCTGCCTTTCTCGCGTCTACAGTATTATTTAGGAGAAAATATCTTGGACAGAGAGCAAAATCATTAACAACTAAATTGAAGTTTGAATAATTTCCATTTATTTTCTTGTAGATAAATAGAATAACTTTAATCATTAGATAAATCAACATGAACAACACTACGATTGTATACACAACATCGTTCCCTGGAAGGGAGTCGGAACTTTCCGGCGACAATGAAAACATGGAGACTAAAACCTGGAAATTGGACATAGAAAATATAACGTAAGTTAAATATAATATTGTTACAAGATTTTTCTAGTATTGTAATAATCAATTTATCAATTATATTAATCACTGTTCGCAACTCGCGGTCTTTGTAAAGTACGATAGAGGTTGAAGAGAATTTATGTCTATTTTTGTTCGCGAAAAAGCATAAGAACAAATCATCGAATATGATTTCTGATGAAAAAATAAATTGAAATCAATTTGAATTATCAGTTGACTTCATCAATAAACTAAAAATAATATTTAAACATGAACAAATAATGAATAAGTTTTCCACACATATGTATAACACGACTGTCAAATCAAATCAGACTTCTTCCTCATTTTACTTTAAAAAACAGACTGTTTTATCTATCAGGCATATAATTATATATTCATTGAAAGGGGCCAAATATCTTGCAATGCTTTCCTCACATTTAAAAGTATATGAAGGTTTATAAGTATATGCATTTGACACCCTGGGATGCCTATGTGATGTTTTCAAAAAGTTTCCTCGAATAACAACTACAGTTCAAACGTGGTAGTTAGAAAAAATTACTGAACGTAATCCAAGTTGCGCAACGGCCAAATATACATCGGCGAAGGATATTTCGAGTTTTTGCATTCTGAATTCTAGCTCAGCGCTTATAAATTTGAATTCACACTACAGCGTAGGAAAGTAGACATTTGTGATATCCATTTTCTGAGTCCAATTCATATGGCCTTTATTTGAGGCTGCACTGCTATTTTATTCTTCATATTTAATATTTATGGAAAGACTTTTTGGTAGGGGAGCTGAGCGCGTACTGTTGACAAAATATATATTCCAAATAAAAAAATATTACTGGAACAGATAACCTGTTTTGGGACTGTAAATTACATACGTTTTTCGAATGTTTGGTTTGGAAAGAAAGATGGATATAATCAAGTTGCCAAATTGCGCATATCCTAAAGTCGTACATTTCTGCGTAAGTCGCAGTGCGCCATGATGACGTCACATGCCATATAAATACATCCAAATCCGGCTACGACTAAAAAATTGAACAATAGAAAATTTTTTACTCCTAATGGCATAACATTATCTTCGGGAAATTTTTTTATGTTTATTTTATGTGGTATTTTTTGACGTTTATCCAGCTGTGTTTACAACTACGCGATTACGCATTTGTCTGTTTGCTATTGGTAAGAAAGTTGATACTACAGACACTAGGCATATTCTGACTACACATTTCTGCAGTTGTTCTTTTTATAACTCCCTTTTTGGTTTATGAAGGAAATACCAACGTAGAATATAAAAGTTGCTTCACTAATACAAAATTGCTTCACTAATGTACCGGTACCCTCGCTCTCTTCATGTAATATCTTTTATTCAACTTACTATGAGCAAATACAGAAAGGGGCACAGTAGTACTCGGCGACCCTAAAAGCGCACATCTAGGAAACATTTGTTGTACTTCTTTGCAGCAAAGTATGCAGCTCCGTCATTGGCTGCCGAAGATAGGGCGTCAAATACTTGTTGGGAATAACAACTGTATAACTGTGGTCAAAAGTTGAGTCACATTTCAATCATCGCCTAGGGCTGGAAGCATCTGCGCGGGTAAGTTGGCGCGGGTGTCTCGGAATAGTCGCGGCAATTATATGTTTCGTTTCGCAGGCCCCTCAGCTCTCAATTCTGCTATAATGATAAGATCATTCTATTATTTCATGTAATTACTAAAAAATATTCGAGTCATAAATTTTTATATTTCATTTACAGGTGTATCCGAGAAGACAATGGTCCTCAAATTATAGAACTTGCGTTTGCATCAGCCAGTTTACCACTTCATCTTTTCGTGCTAATAGCTATGATAGTTCACAGGTAATGTACTGTACGACTACAACGACTTCTAACATGGTGGAAAGTAGATCGAATTATTTTCTATTTTCACACCAGGGACGTCGTGAAACGAAACGTTGTTAATCTTTACGCCGCAAATGTGATATTGAGCAGCGTAGTTGGCAATGTTTGGAGGATATTGGCACTATCAGGTACAATATCGGAGACAGAACTCGTTGAATTTAAAACAAATATTACAGGATCAAGCATGGACGTATCCGAAACTTTAAAAAAGTCGGTGTTGCTTATTATGATACTAGGTGCGTACGTTTTTTCAGAAGGTATATGACATAATTAATTTCAAAATATTGTCTGTTTCTCGACGCAAGCGAGAAGTTTTGTAAACAAAAACAAGTACCAAATGCACTTAGGGAGTAAATTAGCATAACATCGATATATAGCCATTGTTAATGATTTTCTGAACCCGGCGCCATCAAATTTTCATTTGTTACCCCAAAGTAAATTAGATTAAAACGTTACACATTGTAAGGTTAATAATTCAACGGACTATTATAGAAAACAATATGCAACAAGACACGACTTATGAAATCAACCAATGTATTTATTTTTAATGCTATATAGTAACTTCCGGCAGCATAGCACTTGTTATCAATGCAATGAGGTCAATACAATTCCGAGTTCACAGAACTGTAGGTGGATTAGCAAACATAGGAACCGAGGAAACATGCCCCGTCAGAAACGAAAAAGAGAAAATGACGTTAACTAAAAAGTAAGTTAGCCTAGAATAATTTATGAGAAAATTCTATGAAATTATCGGTTATGCATATTTTATATGAACAAACTAATCATACCTTTATAAATGAAATCAATGTTGCTGATATGAAAACATGGCGTTGTCCAAAAAGTAAAGATATAAATGAGCTATTCGATATGTCTTCTTGGTTTCGGTTTTGCTACTTCATGCAAATAATGTAGTTTGCAAATAAATAAATGCTAAAACTATTGTCTGTAAATGTTACACATCGTACATAAGCAGATAATACTATAACCGAACAAAGAATCTTATTGCTACATTCTAAAGCACTTTTTTTATTGCTGTTTGTATTATAACGTGTGATGCTTTTAATTTGGGGGTGTTTTTGTACCAGGTCAGCTTTTTTGTTATACCATATATACTTAAAACGACAGGTACAAGTTTTCATGCTCAAAATAATGAAGGATATTTTTCGTCTAGTCTAGACTCTAGAGTAATTCATTTATATTACAATATATAACATTATTTATAAATAAATATATATATTGTAACAAATTTCTCATCACAGAAGAAAATTGTTTTTCACAGGTTAAGAATAAGCTTGAAGAATCACCCTCGAATGTGGGCTGTTTTGAACATTAGTATTATCTGGATCATTCCTCTACTTCTAATAATATTTATGGTTGTATTTAATTCATGCAAGTATGTTTGTCATTGTTCTTACAACCACTATCCATCACTACCTTATAATGGAACAAAATGTGAAAATTCCGGAAATTACTGTTCAAGCTTTATACCCCCAATAAGTAAACTAACTCTGGTTGTTGGGTTTGGAACGTGGATAGCATATTTCTTAATGCTGACACTTCTTTTGGCAAAGACATACAGAGATCTACAGCTTCTCACGAAACAACGCCGTATTGGAAGTACTCGTATTTTAACTAGCGATAAACATGAGGATGGTGTCAATAACACTGAATTGAATGGCAAAGAAAGCTCTGAAAAAGCTTTGACATCTGAGAGCCCCGACATGTTATCACCTCATCAGCCAAGTCCGACGAAAAGTATTGGAGAAAGCCCTACACCAAATCAAGGAAAACCTCAAGTGAAAATACATATTCTGGAAGACACTGCACCAACGTCTCGGCGATCGGGCAGTATCTTTATTGAAAGTTTAAGAAAAAATTTCAAACTTCTTTTCGTTATGTATTTAGCATATGGCATCGGCACAACCCCTATGGGAGTTGTAGCTCTCATTGACGGATCAGTTGGAGACATAGAAGAACGAATAAGAGAAGGCATTATTGTACTCGTACTACTTCCTATGGTTGCCGAATTCATCTGCACGATTATGCTATGCATGTATCTTTCTGGTGTCAAAACTGCAACTAGATCTCTCTTGGTTAAAATTGGTAGATGTTGCTGGCCGTAATGACCGGCGTCAAAACAGCAACTGAAAATGGCATATAATGCGGGACCTTTTGAAACATTTGATGAAAGGGCGAAAGAAATAATCTCGATCACAGGCACTCACTATCCGATTTAATAACTACCTGGGTTCAGCGTAATGCCTGATTTTGCATGCCGTCCACGAATGCAGCTCAAACTTAACTGAAGAGTTACAAATAGATTTCCCACGCCGTGCCGACTGGTATTAAAATGTTTGTGACAGACAAAGATGAAATTCTAAATAAATTGTATTTTAGGATTCTAACTGTTCAATGAGCAAAATATTTCATTTCTTCCTTTATAGTCTAGCTTTCTTAATTGCAAAAGTATATATAATAAGTTGAACATCCTTTTTCCAGCTTATATAATTAAAATGCATTGCCCGTCATAAATTCCTTCACCCGAAAACATTCACTCGGACATTAGCAGCCTGATCTCGAGGACGTGATGCGGGAACTTCCAGCGCGTCATAAAACTACATGCGGATATATAAGAGGATGCAATTTTTGAAGTTAAAATAGCAATGTTAAAATATTGAACATTAGCAGCCGGATATCGAGGACGCGATGCGGGTAGTTCCAACACGTCGTAAAAATACATGCGGATATGTATAAGGATGCAACGGTTGAAGTTTAATTTGCAATGTAAAATATTGTAATAAGTCGATGTGAAGTGCGTTCACACACCCTCAATATAAATTACAGGTCAATCGAAGAAGACATCGATAGATATCACTCGTATTATACTTATTGACAGCCTTATATGCGCGTATTTTAGGTATATCACTCAATTATATTATCAAATGCTTTAATGATTTACGATCACAAACTAACCAATTTAAAATCTTTCGTGAATTTATTTAACCCAAAATAGTCAAAAATTATTGAAAATGTTATATGAACAAAGTAACTTGTGTTTGCATCATTATTTATAATTTAGTGCGTGGGTTACTATTTTGTGTTCATTTACAATTAAATGAATTCATACGAACATTGTAGATTTCAAATTGTGATTGTATCAATATGCAAATGTGATGAACGAGTTACATTTAATTAGTATGGAGTCATATTGTTTACCAACTTACTACATTTTAATATAAAATGGCTTTAGCGATCATATTTTCCTTTTCTGTCGCTCCAATAAACTGAAAGTGTATCTTTGCAATGTTCCGAATGGAAGAATATTATTAATAAATGTTTTCTTTTACTTTCTGATTTAAATAATTTGTTAATAATATATATATGAAATGTTAAAAATCTGTGTACAGTCAAGAAAAGACTATTTTATGCCTGATGCAAAATTTTCTATCTTACAGAAAACGGCCATTTGTAGTAAAAATGAGATATAATATAGGTAGGCTTGCCATACGTCCCGCTTTAGGCGGGACAGTCCCGATTTTTAGCGTGTTGTCCCGCCGTCCCGACAAGTCAGCCAAAAGTCCTGCTTTGGCTTCAGCCATCCAGCATAATACACGAACATTACCAATTAACATGTTTTTGTTACTGTTGTTGCTGTGCAGCGCAGCGCTAGCCCATATGCTGGAGGTAAATTCGTTCTTTTGTTTGTTTCGTTGTTTCCCGTAACGTATAACATGTAAAATCAATAGTAATTGGTCATGTTCTGACGTTTACGTGAATGTAACATTAAACAACGTTTTTTTGACGAAGGCGTTGTCTACAGAAAAGCATGCTTGGGCGAATAAGTAAATTCTCAATGCTTGAAAAACGGCAGGCTATCTTTCTTCCTTTTGCTGTACATAAAAAAATCTGAATTCGAATTATTTGTATCAATAACGTCAATTCCTTTCTGTTTTTCGAACTGAACCCGATATTTGAACAGAGAATATGCGCATGAACTCTCAATAGCAATATGGTCAATGAAGAAAGCCGGGATGGCTTTAAATGTAGACCTATGTAGTAAAATCGGAAAATGTAAAGTCACAAAATCACAGCTGAGGGATCGTTGTCTTTGGAGGCGTCCCGCTTTGAAGTCACAAAAATATGGTATCCCTAAATATAGGGCATCGATGATAGACACAATCTTATTACATTAGAAGCAGCTATAACTTTGCTAGTTGCAGCATCGTGTTTTTCACTTTCCGCAGTACTATTTTCGCGAGACATACTTATTCGATAAAGTGGAGAAGCTTATTGTAGCTCACTCGGAGACGCGGCAGTTTCGGGTTGATCAACCAGCGTTCAAGCAATTGGTGATGGCTGGTGCGATTTGACCCCATCCGAACCATAGGATCAAAACAGCATTGGCGCTTCCTCGTGACGACTAGATTGTTTCCGCTAGCTAAGCGTCAATAAAACTACCACATGTCAACTGTAATTATTTCAGCAGAAATTGATTTAAAAATTTGAAAATGCACGTCTGATCGTGTAGTTATTTTCGACCGCCTTCTCCTGGCTGAAACAAATGAATGATATGCTCAAGATATTATTTATTCTGGAATTCCCGGAGACTGCTATTTTTACCTTAAATTTATCCGCCTTCCAAACCTAATCACAACTACCCATCTACAAACAGTTTATATAATATATCTATACATATATCGAGTTGACTGTATGTATATGGCATCACTTATAAGGCAGAATATGTAATAAAACTTTGCTGTATGTGCATTAATACATATAGAAAAATTTAACTTTTTTAAATTGCTACAAACCTATGATGTTTGGATCTAATCAACCTAACCGAAAATATTCCGGTTAGATATCTACCAGTGGCTGATTGCATAGGGCCATGTTTTGCGCGAATGGCGTGAATTTAAAGTTTGGGATGAATGGACATACTTCAGAAAAGTCCTTCGACTATCCATTAGGCTAGTTATATTTTGTTATATATTTCGTAAAAGCATGTACTTGTAACAAAAAAATTGAATGAAAACCAAGATTTTCAAAAAGATATAAATTAGGTATGTTTAAAAATGTAATGCTGAAATGAAATCTTGTCTGACAATTTATTATTCTTTATAACAGGGTTAAAATGATTTTCAATATGAATACATACAAGATTAAGTTTAACTTTAATGTGAATATTATATTTGGAAAAGAGAGAAATCCGCAATGTCAGCGCAACTCAAGCCAAATGTTGAAAAAAATGTAATTGTGAGATTCCACTGGCCACAATACAATTAATGTTGACTTGTTCTTAATTTGTTCTGCTCATTATCAAATATGACAATATACATTGGTATATTGTTCAGAAGCACTGATATTGCCGGTTCCAAATGCAATGAAGATATGCAACTGCGGTTCGACAGAAGATATGCATGTAGAAATATGTTGCACCATTGATGCGAACTTATGGTAATGCCAATCAATCTTCCCCTTCAATCATGTTTACCATTGCCATGTTCATTGAATGGTCAGAATAACTACAGGATGCTATATTATCTCAGGACTATTGGATCTCTATGGTGGCACATCGTTGTCACGCGTAAAATTGAAAAAAATAAATAAAAAATAAAATAAAAAACTTGATATAAATGTAAAATAAAAAAAATAGTTTTGAAAAAACATAAAAAAAAAATTAAAATAAAATTTAAAAAAAATAAAAATAAAATGCAAAAAAAAAATTAAAAATAAAAACGAAAATAAAATAAAAACGGAATAAAAAAAAGCAAAAAAAAAATTGAAAAAAAAAACGTGGATAAAAATAAAATAAAAAGGTTGACAACGATGGGCCGCCTCGTGGCCCATCGTTGTCACGCGTTTTTATTTTGAGAAAATTTGCTTCGGCTTGGGACCAACGTTGTCATGCATAATCCTACGGGCACAAACGGTGTTCCCTGGATTTCTAACTCATTTTGATTTTCTTAAGCAATATTCAATAAATTTAATATGCAAATGTTCTATAAATTCTCCATGATACAAGTTTAACTAGAAGTAATATATATATTTATAATAATGATAGAAGAATATAGAATTGAATACGAAAATTCGAGAAATTTGTTTTTACGTGTAGAAGGTAATTGAATTGGAGAATGCTGATTAAGTGCTCAGTTGTCCGGACACTCCGACACCGATACCGTCTGATCGTACCCGATTTGACGAGCCATTGGCTGTACCGGTAGCGTACCGTAGGTTACCGGTACCGTACCTCCATGACGATTACAATAACCGGTACCATGCTGGTAATTAATATTACGTACAACCTGTAACTGGCTGCGCTCAATTCATCACTCGATTCACTATATTATACTAGCTAGACTTCCGTATCTCCCATTCGTTTCATGAGTGATTGCATGGGTACAGGTACGATCAGACGGTACCGGTATCGCAATTTTCTTAAAATAAAAACGCGTGACAACGATGGGCCACGAGGCGGCCCATCGTTGTCAATCTTTTTATTTTTTTTTATTCACGTTTTTTTTTTTTTTTCAAATTTTTTTTCCCGTTTTATTTTATTTTCGTTTTTATTTTTAATTTTTTTTTTTTTTTATTTTTTTTTTAAATTTTTTCATGTTTTTTCACAACTATTTTTTTATTTCACTTTTATTTTAAGTTTTTTATTTTATTTTTTATTTTTTTTTTCAATTTTACGCGTGACAACGATGGGCCACCATAGATCTCCGCTTGTAGGAGACCCTTATTATCAGTCGTTCTGTCTGTGTATCTGTCTATCTGTCTGTTTGATTGTAGCGTCTTAACGGCTGGGTTATCCTGTCACCCTAGTATTATGCGTTTCGTAGAAAGTCCGGATATGGGTTTTCGTCTCCATGATAACAACGGCAAACGCGCCGATCGTTATGAAATTTTAATTTTTTTCACAATATATGGCTGTTTTCTCGCCAACCAAGTCGAAAATTGAAAATCCAAGAACGCTACCTTCCGCATAGCAAAATACTCTTTCAAATAAGTTAATTTTGGTCTTGATACTCCATAAACTGGAGGAGCCTTATGGATTTTATTGAAGATTATTTTTTAATTTCAACCACAATATACCAGTTGCGCGAGTAAGACTACGAAACGCGCAGCGTTTGAAATGAACTCAGCGGAACGCGCAGCGTTAAACATGAACTGACGTTTTTAGTAGTGTCTCCTGTTATCCCTTAGTAAACTGAAAGGATGCGGGCCTCAAGCAGTGGCGGAGATCCAACTGGGCGCCTACCGGCTTGTCTCAATATTAGTTACAAATTGAATTTTAACTATAATAAAAGATTTTTTGCAATAAATAAATGTGGACAAATTATTAATTTATTCCCATGCATTACATATTTCCATTTTGTGTGAATATCATCATTGCATATTTTACTTCCATTTACTTTTTCGTCGCTTTCAACTTATTCCGTGATATCTTTTTGTAGTTTTGTACGCATATTTTTTAGCAGTTTAAATCTCGCGAGAACTATAAAACAAAAAACTTGCTAGAGAAGACTATTATAATTCAGATAGTGCATTCTAGATCAGCGAAACATAAAAGTGTGTGTTGCGGTTTGGTATATTGTGGAACGAATATTACTGTGACGAATGTTTCCAAAAATCAGATTTAATAAATGCACGGACACTGATTGGATTGAACTGTTTGATTCGCGAAAATATCTTAGCTGAGCGAAAATTGATAACAAAAATAAAATATTACTAGCTTATCGTGCGCTGCTGGTTTCATTCGGAATGTTTCTGCATCTAAAAACATATTGTATAGTGAAATGTTCAATTGAAAATTGAAACTCCCCTGAAAGCTTAATCGAGGGATAGGAGAATTCTATCTAAAATTGATAAAAAAGCAAATAGTACAAAATGATAAAAGTCATAGCATATTCTGCTATGTTATTCATTTTTTCTTCTACTGTCTTAGTGAATTCGATGTTCAGGTACCTGCAGTAGGCTAATGTCTCAATGGAAAAAAAAAGAGTTAGATAGATATTGATTGGACATATGATTAAAATATTAAATGAGTGATATATTTTTTGCCGGATTTCAATTCAATGTGGTCATCAAGTTTAACTGTTTTGTTATGCCGACAACTGGCTGTAGCGCTCATGATAACAGTTCTAGGAATGAAGATTTCTAATTTGTTAATTTATAGTTTAATACATTAGTTATTCTAGTACAGTGTTTCCTAACCCGAGTCCGCGTCTCAAATGAGTCCGCGGAGCGTTTGAATAAGTTCTCAACGAGCAATACCGTTTTAGAAAGTTTTGTAGTAGTATATTTCATGTAGGTCACTAACCCTTTTAGTGTCACAAAATTCATTACCAGCCAAGTTACGATTTACGTTAGTATTTACGAAAACAAGGAAAATTT